CAAAAAAACAAAAAAAGGCTGAAATATCTCAATTTGTCTAGGAGCTCATAGAAGACATGTCTATTTAGCCCTCCCTCCTCAAAGTACTTGAAAATGCTTTTCTAGTAGCTATCCAATATCCCAAAATATTGTAAAGTGATAGTGCATGAGCACATGAACACTAAAAGCTCCTTCCCAGATTTGATGACATGTACAAGTAACAATTCCTCATTAATCAATGACACCAGTTTTAAAGGGCAAATAAATACTATAACTACAATATATCATTAAAAAAAATCAACATAACATAATTGCACAATACCCAAAATGCCCTTTAAACGTACGTGAACACTGCAATGTCCACATAGAACCTAATGGGTTAATGACACACCTATCACCTATTAACATCATCAATGCACTCGAATGTCTGTAACCTTCAGCCTGTGATGTAATGGAACACCCATGAAAGGCACAAATTTTAAATTACTATATATATTTTTTTTAACTAACTTTTTTAGACCGATATACGTCTGTTATTGAAAAGAAAGAAGAATGAAATGACAGTTTCAGACTTTTTTATAGGAAACATTTTCTAACTCTGGCGTCGTTACCAATAGCTAAAAGTTGGCATATTGTAATTGGTTTGATACCTGCTGCGTGGTACTGCTGAAAATTCTGAAAACATTATGCATGATGGTATCACTGCTGGATGGTAATATAGGCCATGCTTAGGAGTTTATGTAGTATAGGCATAGGCAACCTTCGGCACGCCAGATGGTTTGGACTACACCTTCCATGATGCTTTGCCAGCATTATAGGTGCAAGAGCATTATGGGGGATGTAGTCCACAACATCTGGAGTGCTGAACGTTGCCTATCTCTGCACTAGATGTATAGCAAAACTGAGGAAAAAAGTGCTGATTTGGAAAAATTCTCTAACTGCTGGCAGTTTGGTTTACAATTTGCTGCGATTCGATGTTTCATGAAACTCTTTAGAACACTATATCAGCCATTTGGTAAATTAGGGGACATGCCAATCAGACAAAGATTTATAAGATAATTTCATGCTATACCATGTAAGAATAACTGGAGGCATGTGTCAGATAGACATGTGTCAGGATAGTGACATTTCCCCTCGAAATATAGCTCCATCAGTCTACAACTGCAAATCAGTGCTCCAAATATATTGTTAACCAAATAAAGAGAAGCAATGTTTCTACCTCAGGTAGAAGTCTTTGTCAAGCTTGGATTCTGGATTGCGGCTTATTATGTAGTGAGTGACCAAGATTATCATGCACCCTTTAAACATAATTTGAAAATAAACTGTCCTATAGGATGCCGTCTACCCATCGTAACTAGTTCCTTCCTGCAGATACAAATGTCAAGATAATGACTTTCTTAGTCTGAAGGCACTGCCAGAGTGGATACCTGCCCCCTAGTGCTTGTAAGCTTTATGGTTAAAGTTTGTTTAGGTTTGGGTTTCGATTTGGTAAAATTTAAATTTTATAAACCAATCATCTGGTTTCATGGGCGTCCGCATGGGGGGGCAAGAGGGGGCACTTGCCCCCCCCTGGATTTTTCAGCTTGTTCTGCTATTTCGTGTGAGATTTAAAATGAACTGCAATACCGGCGCCGGCCAGTAGGTGGCGCTGTGTATGGAGAGAGACAGGGATAGGAAGCTGCATCTTATCCCTGCTTCTCTCTGCTGATTGAAACTGCAGGGGAGCAACACATGCAGCCAGAGACAGCCTACAGATCAGGTAAGTGGGGGATGGGGGGAGGTTTGAGA